ACCCCCTGGTGACTAATCAAGTGGGAATCATCGAACCGACACCTCCCGATGATGAGGAAGTGTTTATTGCTTGTACGTTAGTGAAAACATGGAAGCGCGGTAGAGTACTCATAAGGATAACGAATGTGAAAACGCAGCCCGTTAACAATTAATCCAAATAAAATTTGATACTATAAAATAATGTCAAGTCTTTAACTTTTTAGATGTTGTATCTCGAATTTATATAAGCGAAGCAGTATACGAATTCACTTTACAAATATGTTTATGAAAAGGTGAAAATTATCACTTTTTTCTTCAATGATCTCATCTTTAATCAACTTCTCCTGGAATAAGACTCTCTCCGATTGCTCGAGAGTTGAAAAAGTGTCTGCAGGTTTTAAAGGCAATTTTATATTGTTTTTGCCAATGTTCATTTGCAAAAACTGCCAACAGACAACGAGTCGAATTTTTCCCAACGAATATTGATTGGTTCATCCGACTGTGCTCTTCTTTGGGAGTTGCGGTAATTTTCCACATGGAAAACACCGCTTTTTACTGAATTTATGTAGCCATAGATATGCACTGGTATGTAAGCGTATTGACTCTTAAAAGTCATGAGAAGATTGAGATCAGTGACGAAACAATCTTCCCTCACAAATATCTCAGTGCTAAAAAAATGAAAATGGTTTCTTGCTGTCTGCAAATATGCGAAAAGATTGTTTTTTATGTTTATATTCAGATAGAGATGTGTAATTTAAAGATTTGCTTCTACATCTGTCGTTTGAGTTTTTGCCGAAATTCGACTTATCTGAAAACCTTTATTCGTTTCTTCACAGATGAAAATGGATTTCTCTTCTTCTTTAGTAAACAAATTGAGTTTGAATATTTTATTAATTAATTTCTGTTTGCTTGTGGTTAAGAATTTGATTTTTTCAAGAAACGGTTGTAATTCTTCTCGATATTTTTGTTTCTTCGCGTTTTCATTCGTTTGAACAAATGACTTTCCCATCTCTCGTTTGCACTTCTCTTCTATCCAGTTGTAGACGGCCAAAAATATGCACTTTGCTCATACCTGTATATTGGACGAGACACTATCCTGTCTACTGTCGTAGTTCTAAAAGGTTTGAAGGCTTCTCCCTGGAATATCTCTGAGCAAGAAGTATCGAATATTTCCCAGCGACTATGTTGTAGATAAGTGTGATTCATTTTGCAGATAAAATCGTGGATTGCGCACACATTTTTCTTATACAACTTCTTTGCCAATTCACAAATTTTCATTTTTTATCGAAGTCTTGAATAAGGTTAACTATACATTTTAAAGATAAAGTTTTTCTTTTCTTGTTTGATGCAGAAGAATTAGTTCTACTTCTTTTAAAAGACATAGTGGAGTCTCTCGAGTCCACTATGATCCAAATAACTCGGGAAATCTGAAAAATTTTTCGTTTCTTTACAGACGAGGATGGATTTTTCTTCTTCTTCAGTGAACAAATTCAGTTTGAATATTTTATTAATTAATTCCTGTTTGCTCATTGCTAAGAATCTGATTTTTTCAAGAAACGGTTTTAATTCTTCCCGATACTTTTGTTTCTTGGTGTTTTCGTCCATTTGAACAAATGACGTTCCCATCTCTCGTTTGCACTTCTCTTCTATCCAGTTGTAGACGGCCAAAAATATATCTACTTCACTCATACGTGTATATAATGGACGAGACACTATCCTGTGTATTGTCGTAGTTCCACAGGATTTGAAGTCTTCTCCCTCGAATATCTCTGGGCAATGAGTATCGAATATTTTCCATCAACGATGTTGTAAAAATGTGTGATTCATTCTGCAGGCAAAATCGTAAATTGCGCATACATTTTCCTTACATAACCGAACTTTAATGTAGTCTTCGCATTTCCTGCATAAAACTTCAATTGAATTTTTTCTGCTGAAGTCGTACAACTGGAAACTGGAGGGTTATTTGTACGCAAATAACTGCAAGATGAATACAAAATATACTTATGAAATCGCAAATATTTTTAATTTTATATTTTAAGATACAATATATTAAGATTATCTCACTTAACAACTAGAGCGACGACTTCCTTCGGGTATGGCAACTTTAGCATCCTCGATCATTCTCGCCGTTCTATTATTGATTCCATCTGCTCGTTGCGAATTTTATCGAAATTCGATGAAGAAATCGATATTTTATCCTCGTCGGATGATACGAGTTCGATTTCTTCTGAATCCATAATGTGAACAGTTGGAACTAAATAATAGATTAATAAGAATTGATAAGAATAAAATTGCCAATTGTTACAGTTTTATTATGACGAAATGTAAAGGGAAAACGTAATTTTGATAGTAAATTAAAGTTTTCATTTAAACTTTTTCTGCGCTCTTTTCACTAACAAAGATATTTTATACAATTCTTTCGCGGATTTGGCCAGACTTATAATGGGGACGGCAAGGTGAAAGGTACGAGGCCCGACATATTTGAGACAGATCTATCGTAAAAGATTCCTGGGGTTACTCACTCAGATTTGATTGCAGGGTTTCAAGGTAGTAGCTTGAAGTTTAGTTTCCTGGAATTTCCGTCAGTCTAACAGCAAAAATAAAATGAAAATGTGAAGTTGAGTGAATGGCAGAGGCGCGCATACAATTGATACTTGGGGCTCGTACATTCCCCTTTGTTGTTGAGTAGCCTCTTTTTTTAATCCTTAACGTAGTCTTAACGATTCATTTTATTTTTAAATTAGTTGCTTATTTTTATCACAGAAAATTTTTTCACTGATGAAAAAATAAAAATAGAAATTATTGTTATTGTGAAAATCCGACTCTTTTAAGAGAATTTTTATTAAATACGTAACAAGTTATATTTCTTTCATCATCATTTTCGTTGTTTCTCCCATTCTCACCCTAATGTCCGAGGAATAGACCCCGGATAGTGAACTGCGTAATTCGTCCGTCAAGAAGGTCGTCCCTAGGACGAAGTCGTCCGAGGCGACCGCGGAAGAAATCCCCTCTCCCCGGGACATTTGTTTGTTTTGCTAATTGGTCACACTGCAGACACCTTGTAATAGAATAGTCTCCTTCGGGTGTCCGGTGGACGGAGACGGATGGGTGTTCCTGCATGGAGAGTAGACAAGAGGTCACCTACAAGGGCACCCTTACGGTGAGAACATTACCAAAAATGGTCAGTCATCTCCCCAGGTGATGACGACTTTAACATTAATTGGTCAAGCGATGTCTGCATTGTCGTCACCCATGACGGGGGAGACTGTCATAAATCGGGAGAAGTGACAGTTTGCGTCAGAAGAATCCCCGAGATTTCCCACGCTAAAAAGGTATAAAAGGGGAATGATCG